TCTCTCGCGCGAACAGTCACACTGGCATGCTCGAGCCATCTGTGTCTCCGCCCATACAGCGTGCGTTGAGGATCTCTCAACGTGCCGTTGCGAACTGCGCAACGCAGGGTTGACTCTGCCCCCACCCCCTAGACTGCCTACACTCCCCCTGGCCCACGGATTTCCGAACATGCCAGGCGAGCAGACTGCCGCGCCGCCGCGTGCCCCCCCCCCAACTAAGTTAGCACCTTAGTGACCAGGCGCGAATGTGCTCTTGTTTCCCTTTATGTTGCTTCTTACTCTATGACTTTTTTTATTCTAGCTTCCATATATTTCAGTATTATGTTATTATTTTATTTTGTGTAATGAACTGGAGTGGGCCATGAATATATGAATAAACAATTTGGGAAGTGGTAACTGAGTAGTTTAGTAGTTTAGGTGTGAAGCTGCTATCCACGAAAGGGTTGTGCTGTTGAAAGCGTTCTATCTAATACGATTCCACAATATCTCCTATTGTACCTATTGATGAACACTCTGTCTTTACTAAGAAATTATATTTCAATCTAAATAGAACTGTTCAATATCTTTTTTCTCGAATTTTATTTGCGTGAATCATAGCAATCAAAGCGTAGCGGAGTAGGAAGTCAACTAATTACTTGAAGGATCATTCTGCTATAGTTTCTAAGTCGAAGTGTTAAATTAATTTATTTATTTAAATTAAATAATTATATTATTACCTTAGAATTGTTCTGTCCCGAAGTCTCATGTCGATCTAAATGTGTATTAAACAATGTGAGACTTCAAAATTTTTAGTCTTTTGCAATAAAATTTTGAAGTCTCACATTGTTTAATACACATTTAATTATATTATTAATTTTTCCCTTTCGAAGTAACTGTGTCAGGTGTAAGAAGAAGATGAGCTCTCTTGGCACGCACAATTTGTTCTTACAGCATGGCAGTGCCAAGTTGTCGCTGTTTTTTTTTGTTCATGTACATGTTTTATCAAGAATTATGGTTGGGCTGTCTAAGTTTTAGGAGTTGAGAGCCCGTTGGCTTACGGATTGTAGGGTATTTTGCGTGAACATACCGTAAAGGACTCCTTTTTGTAAGGTGACAATGCTTGTGTAGGGTGAAAGACATGTAAACCTGATAGAATGCGCGACACACTCATCAAGGCTAAGAAGATTAAAAAATACCTTTTTTCTCCATCTACGATGTACGTTTATGTCTTTGACATAGCAGCAGCAGCACGCGCAGTGAGCCCCGTGTGGCCATCTGAAATGATCAGCTAACGTTGTATCGGGGTCTCTCTTCCTGGCTTTCTTACTTCAATACAGCTTTTTGTTTTTGATAAGCAGCGTGTCTAAGTTCAGTTTATGAAGATATTACCGTGGTCATCCTCATTCTATTCGGAGAAGTACTCTTGATTACTTTGTCTTCATCTCATTCTTATGATATTTTGTATTATAAGAAATGCAGTTAAAGTTATAGCTCCTCCAGATCCAGGTTTGATCAACTCACTTCGGCCCTTTGTTTTGTAGAAGGGTGCTTCAAATTTAGTTGTGATTTGGTTGTTCGTATGCACTGCCTAAATTCCATAAGTTCTCATGAGCAGTGACTTCGCGTTTCCTGATCGTTCGTGTTAAGGTCGTGTTCACGTTGTACACCACTCAGAAACACAGAAAAACAGAGAAGAAATTTTTTGTTCCGCTTTTAATCCATTATTGACGTCGCATTCAAGAGGAGGGAAGTAAAATACCAATACCGAATCCAAATGGAAACTGCAGCTACATCTTTTTGGTGGTCAACGTCTCCTTTTGGAGTGTATGAATGTCCTTAGCCGGAATTCAAGAGCTAAATGATTCTTGGGCGTTTTGAAACGCTCATCTACACCCAACATATCGGGATGCATAAGGACCAAAGTGCATCAGATTCCAGAGGATTCTACTAATATAAGAGCAACTTAACCTCTGTTTCGTGCAGCCAGAAATCCACGTGGCACACGTGGCTAAATTCTCGATGAAAAGGTGACATCACGTGTGCTCAAAGATGTTCTTGAATCGATGCCACGTAATGCCACGTCAATTTCTGCAATTGCACAATTTCTGGTCATTTGAAGGCGAGGGTGCGTAGTGAACGATTCTTCCTAAGTATTTGCGTATTTACTACAATAGGCAAAAGCTGTTGAACTAGCAGCTGATACTTAGGGCATTCTTGAACATTTGACTCGATCAGTGATGAAAACCCTTCGTAACTGGATGTATTCAAGTAAGTGCACACCATGCGATCTAAAAACCTCCGAACACAAGGAAACGGAAGGACCATCGTCAGCAATCTATGCAGCGCTTTCATTTTTATTGAGGGATCCTTCCCAGAACTTCTATGCCTTTTTTGATCTTCATGGCTCTTTTAAAACACTAGGAATCCGTAAGCATGGAGTCTGTGATGGACTGTATTATGCATAACCAGAATTGTAAGTAAGCTTCATTGTAGTGGTGCGGCTTCAACTACACTGCGTTTCATAATTATAGGTCCACCCTAAATTTTTGCTACCCCAAAGTTGCTGTGCATTTTTTGGAAATGCTGCTATCACCATTAGATTCCTCATCACGGAAAACCTTCATAGTGTTTTTCTGACA